AAATAGGAAGAAGGAGTTGAAGAAGAGGAGAGCCTCTGCTGCCAGAATGGTACACTGGCCTTCTCCTCCCCAGCAGGCATCGGTCGGAGGAGGAGGAATCGGAGGCCACATTTTGACCTACCCCATGTGGGTGATTTCGGCAAACCACGGATACTGAGCCCGGATGCGAGCAAAGTCCCGGTCATTGAGAACCTCGGGGATCTGGCCGGGCCCCCGGAGCTGGGCGCGCCAAGACCGAAGCGCCTTTTGGCAGTCCTATTCACACATACGCGAGCATTGTTCTCGGTCAATTGGCCGGCCTCTTTGACCAAAGAAGCAGGAGGCATCCACCGGATGCCCCCCGAGCCGGGAGGAGCAAAGAGGCAGAAGAAAGGAAAGCCGGCCTACGTACGTCATCCATGCGAAGCAGCGCAAAAGCCACACCCATGTTGTGGTAGGTATCCATATCGTGGTACTCCTTGAAGGGAATGGCGAAGGCCTTCTGGTAGGTGTCCAGGGCCTCTTGCAGAAGCTGAACCGACTGGGCACACGGCTGGCTGGTCGCAAGATCTGGGCAGCACACCTTGGCCTGCTGGAGGAGGACATCGCCAAGCTGGGATCGTTGAAAGGTAGGGCAGGACAGAGGCAAAGGATGTGAGGATGACATGCCTGCATGCGCAAACTCACACACTCACATACACACACAGCGACAAACGCGCGCGCTGGACAGGCTGCCAGACAACAGGCACGCGAGGGAATGGAGGAGGACACATCGAGCAAAGGGCGCGAAATTAGGGACTTGTGGCTGTACCTTGGAAAAGATGTTCGGGTCGCGATTGTTCAGGGAGAGGGCTTTGCGGTAGTGCTCGACCGACTGCTGGAGCATGGCCTCCGAGCTGAGCCGGGCCGCGAGGGCCTGGGTGCACTGGCCGGCCGCGGCGGTGGCGGAAAGGTACTGCTTGACAGACTCCCCATGGCGGGAATCGGTGGCCACCGAGAAATAGATGTCCGCCAGATCGCAATGTGCCTGGAGCCGATCGTCACCGTCGCGATTGAAAATGTCACCCAGGTGGTCGACAGCCTGCCCGACAAGACCGAGATCTGTTTGTGGGACAGGCATATGTGGGCAGCACCAATCGGCACAATGGGTAAGTACGAGGGGGAAAAGGCCCATTTTCGAGACGCCTGTTTGGGGAAGTGTCCGATCATGGGAACATACCGATGAGCGGCTCGCGCTCGTCGCGCGCGGCCGAGGCGCAGACCGCCGCACGGGCCAGCAGGATCCGATCTTGCGGACCGATGGGCGTCATGCTGGAGCACAGGCCCATGGCACGCTGGGTGTGGTTGTTCGCCAGGAGAAAGTACTCCTTGGCGGTCGAATGGTCTGGCGCCAGGGGAGCCGCCGCCACCAGGGCATCAGCCCGACCCAGCAGGCAGTCCACAATCTCGGCCACAGCATCATTGAAGGTCGGCGCGTCGGGAGGACCCTCAACATCGAGCTGGCCACCGTGAGCCCGGTTATGGAGGGTCTCGGCCAGCTGCTCCAGGAACTCCTGCGACCGGGCGTACAAAATCTCCGACTGGAGAAGACGCTGCAGGGCCGATTGGCGGAGTTGCATGAACCCCGGGCCTTGGGGCAACTCATGCTCCGACGCATCAACCTCCAACTGGGCCAGCTCGGCCAGCGAATGCGCGGCATTCTGCATCTCCCGGCAGTAGGACAGCGACCCGGGGGTGAAGGCCGGGTCGGCATCGATGCCGGTGACCGCACCGGCTGCCTGGAAGGCCGCGTCGAAGTTTTGCACCGTCGCAAGCAGCGCGCGACGCTGCTCCACGGGATCGGTCAGCTTGCGGGCCAGCCACATGCAACAGCGCGCCTTGCCGAAAAGGGCCTCCACATTCCGTGGGTTCTGTTCCAGAACTCGGACGAAGGCCGCGAAGGCCGAGCGCGAGGCATCCGCACCACTCTGGCCGTTGAGACGCTCGGCTGAGGGGAGGGGAGGGGGACCTTGTCAATGCCCTGGGTTCCACCCAAACCCAAGATCAAAGGAGTGAAGGAGAAGAAGGGAAATCCCCTGGCGTACCCTTGTCCTCGTGGTTGTAGGCGGCCTCCATGGCAGCCTCGAGATCGAAGACCTTCGGCTGGCTGGAGGACCTGCCACTCGGGCGACCAGACTTGGGAGGCATACTTCCGGAGGGGAGGAGAAGAGGGGAGGGGCCTTGGCGAAAAAAAAGAAAGAAAGAAGGCCGACCACAAGCAGGCGAAAAGGGCGAAGGCTGGAGGGAGAGAGGGTGGGGGAGCGAATGGAGGGGGACTTGGAGAGACGCCCCACAGGCCTGGGACGGGGGGGGGGGGAAGGATCTGATGTAGGTGGAAAAAAGAAGAAGAAAAAAAGGGGGCCCGTAACTTGAGCCAGGGGGGCGGAGGAAGCGTGGCTGGCTCGTCGGCGGCCGGGTGGCCACTCGGCCCAGTGGACTTGTCCGCTGGCATCCGCCGGCGCCAGGGCGCCGCAACCCTACGCCGAGGGCGGGAAATTATTCTCGAAGATACCACATGACCCTCTGAATTAAAGACATCTCGTCCCAAGTTAATGGCATGAAGGTCTGGCTACACGGGGGAAGGGGGCGACGGGTCGGGGAGACACTGCTCTTCTCGGCCGCCCCTTCCGCCTGTGTCAAGCCCGGTGGCGTCGATTGGCACGCCTGTTGGCCGGGGGCATCGGCCCGAAGAGTAGCTCGGCAGGCAAGGAGGAGCCCCATGCACGCGGGAGGCCCGACGAGTGGAGGCACACACCATGTAGCCATGCCGGGGGGGGGGGGGGGGGGGGGGCACACAAAGGGGAGGCATGCAACAAGAAGGGGAGTGCGTCTATTCTTCCAGAGGGGCCAGGTGTGACAGTCGACGGTATTGCCACTCGCGAAGGCGAGCCTGCAGGGCGGCGCTCGGACTGAGCTCCACATGGGGAAGGACCTGCAGGGTGATCGGCGAGACGATGCACTGGTAATCGAGCCACTCGCTGATGGACACCGAATCGTAGATGTGCCCATCGGCCGCGACCACCGGGTCGGTCATGAACTTCCCTGAAATGGGGCAGATATACTGCCGGGGGTAGCCGGAGGTGGTGGGCGAGTCGGGCGCCAGGAGCTGGTCAATGACGGGGTCATGCTGCAAGGATGTCCCCCGGAGTCGGTCCGCTGGCCCGCTGGCAGAGCCGGCCGGGGCGGCGCCGGAAACAACGGAAGTCCCGCCGGGGGAGGGGGCGGCAGCGGCCGAAGCGGCCGGCGTGGCACTGGCCTTGCGTCCGGCCATGCCGGGCCCTATCGAGGGGGAGTTGCTGGCCGAATGCGGCGGGGTCTGGTGGTGTGAAGCGCCGGACCGGCCGCCGCTGCCACTGTGACCTGCCCCGCCGCCGCTGGCAGCGGGGACCGGCGGCCGAAGCCCCTCCTGGGACGGCCCGGCACGTGGGTCGCACACCGGCAGGGGGATCTTGAAGCGAGCCGTGTCACTGGTGGCTGACCGGTACATGGCCGACCGAAGGAGCAGATCCTCATACACGGCCTCCGGGTCGTGCTGATCCACCGGAGGGGTGTTGGTGATCTGGGAGTACTTGAGACTGAGCAGCGAGCGAGTGGGCTTGGAAGAGTCGGCCTCAAAATCGGAGAGAGCCTGGGGCAAGAGGGCAATCTCGGATTTCTTCTCCCCCATTGACAGGCGATAGGTGATGTTTTTGGACAGCTCATATGTCGACACAAAGAACGGCGAGTAGAGGGGATAGTCGATGGCAGCCGCGTAGTTCCGGCGGAGGTAGCGCGAGATGAGCATCATCTGCGCCGGGTCCGAGAGGAGGCTCGTGTCACCTGTCAAGTGGACGAGGCGCGGGTGGGGGAGGATGCAGACCCCGGAAGTGCGTCAAGATGGAGTGGGAGTCAGTGGCCAGAAGCCGGGCTGGGGTGGGGGGGGGGGGCATCTGACCCGAAGGCGAGGATGAGCGCGCACCGTAGCACTCGAAGGAGCGGATGGTGTAGTTGGATGCCAAAGCACGGGAAATGTACGTCGAGCCGCTATCGCCAAGGTCGACATTGTGAAGCTGGAGGACTTGCAAACGGGTGTTCTGGAGAATGATTCCGGCCAGATGCTGGGCCCCCTCATTGCCGAGCACCTCATTGCAAATGTAAATGTGTTTGATGGATTGGTTATGCTCGAGGGCCTGCTGCAAGCCCTTCAGCGGCAGCAGCGGATGCCCGCTGTTGTCGCCGTAGAAGATATTCTCCACAGTGCGATTGCTCTCGAGCGCTCGGAAGATGAGGTACTGGCCAACCGGGGTGATGGCAGAG